ATTTCCATGACAGTTTCTTCCATTTTTCACAGAGATTAAGGGATGAAAGAGAGTCAGTTGGTGGGGAATTTAATTCTCCGTCGAACTACTCTTTTTTCATCCCTTAATCTCAATTAGGAGGGGAGAAGTGAATTTTTAATTCGCGAGCGAATGGTGAAAAGTCACTGTGCGCCGAGAACAAAATTATTTTCCTCACTGGCCCATGACTTTGTCGTAGTTTGTATTTTTTTGTTACAGAGATTAAGGAATGCAACGGGGATCGATTGATGGGGAATTTAATTCTCCATCACACCCTCTGTGTTTCATTCCTTAATATTAATTAGCCAGCAAATGAATCACCTGGAAAACATTAAGAACATGCTGAGGACGAGGAGGACACAAATTCCACTCCGAAACTATCCCTGTAACAGCGGGACTGCTACTGCCGAGTTACCCGCACAGGCAGTTTGCCCAGCCGTCAGATTCAACCGTGGCGGCATCCCTCCGTTGGGGTCGAACTACTTTTGGCTTGGGGTCAGTCTAACCCCGAGATCTGAGCCTCTACTTTAGTCAATTGGGACCGCTAATTACCGATGGCGGCGCTCGTTTTCACCAAATGGACGATTTTAGGCTTCCCATATACACGCTAACACAAGCCCAAATTGGGTTGCATACTGTCTGTGTGCAGCCCAATATCCGCCATTCATAGGTGGCGTTTTGATATTTAGCGTTTCCAATCCTCTTTGGTAGAGCCTGAGATATTATTGATAATGTGAGGCCGCGTCGAGCGATAAGTGAACCGACTGCGTTGACTAGGGCGACAAGATAGCTCTCGTTGAATCATACCCAATGGTTTCTCATAATATGTATTCTTCTTAATTTTATGAATTGCAGCGATGCAACAACTTCTGGGAGTTGAAAGTTTTGGAAATTTCTAGAAAATCGATTATGACTGATAACTAATAAATAAAAACAGCGGAAGAGTAATGCATGAGAGAAGTATACAACTGGTGGTACTATTGACATAACGTTCTAAATTGGCCGGCTTCTCCTTTTTATGTCATTGATGATATTCTTATTCACTCTAACTGGAAATGATGGCTTTTGGGTGCAATTAACACTTTAAACGTGCAAGGGGGTGTATTACTTGGAGCGCTCCCCCTGAGATGGCGATGCGACCTTTGGGGGAGGGGCTTGTAGTCACGTTCGCCAAACTTCAGACCTCCAATTAGAGAGAAATCGTCAGAAATCGAAAATCTCTATGGAGGCTCAATTTGAAATCGAATAACTTATACTGAATATACGATGGACTGATAATTGAAGTAGCAAACTGCAAACCATAAACGGGGGTAGAACAGATTTTGCCTTTTTCAATTCATAAGATTGTAAAATATAAATTATCTCAGAAAATTCTGGGCATAGATTCATGCGATGGGCTTGTCATTGACCATCCTGATATGTAACCTGGTTGGAATATGAACGTCACCTACACCTTCTTGATTCGGCGATACATCTGAGTCTAAAAATTGCTAGATTTTGACTGAATTGTTATCTTACTCCAACTCATACAAACAAGTATGTTATACACAATCTGATGTTTTATTGCATTAGCTATTCAGCTTTCAAGATTTCGATCTTTCATCTCTAGCTATAAACATTTTTCATGACAACCTTTCATTTTTCATGACATAGCTTCGGGAATAATCTCAATAGATCGAATCTCAGATTCCATTGCAAACGAATTGCAGGAAATATCGGTCACGTACAGTTGACAATTCGAACCGAAGACTCTTATCACGATATATTAGTCGAAAACATGCTCCATGAAATAGTTCTAAATTTATGGTGAAGATCATAACGGAAAATAATGTCAACCGATGTCCATATACGTCTGCTCCTTCGTTAATCTGGCATCTAGTTATGGATAAATTCCTCAGATTCAGAGAAATAAGAATTTTGCAAATTTACATGTTCAATGATATTACAGCTGAAGAGAATAGTATTTCTATTGTCTCGTCGATTCTGTGGAATAATTTTTACGCTATATGAGTAGGCACAATGAAAACCATGTATACCATTAATGAGTTTCGAGAAAAAACAACTCATGCTGAGGCTGATTCATTCCCGCCATTTGAAATCGGACATTTGTTACGTCGTTGGCCGTTCATAACTAGGTGGCGTTGTATGCACCTAGCGGTCAATTTGAATATTACCTTAATCAGAATAATTAGATAATAATTTAATTTCCATTCTTTCATTAAATTCAATACTGCGTAGTTTGGGCACGTGTTCTTTTGGTGGACAATGACGTCTCATTTCAACTCTCAAATACAGAGCTCTATTCATCCGAGAAATAACATAAACAGTTTAAATAAACGAAAGAAATAAACCGAGTTAATATAAATATTGCAGGCCTGTTGATTTTCTGGCGTCGCCATAAACACATAAAATTCAGACGTAAACTTCTCGAGAAAGGTCCATGACTAATCCCAACAGATCTCCCTTTGTATCCTTTGTATTAAACCCAAGAACGTCATTTTCTGCCGGTCACACGTGCGTCCCAAATTCTAGAACGTGGATGGGGGTGGCTGGCAACAGTTGACTGCGTCACAACGTTGCCCAGCCCCTCCCCACCACTTTTTGAGTCTAGCATTTAAGATATCACTAAAACATAAGAAAGAGAGAGAATGCGTGCGCAATCTGAAAAGAGTGGGAGTTATAGGACCCACGAAAGGGACGTTTTGAATAAGTTAAGTCAGTTCGACGAGTCCGGTTTTAGAGTGCAGATCTCCAAAATATAAATCAATGTCTAGTGAAAGTTAATACAGTTTTGATAGTTAAATAAATAGTTTACGTGCTCTCCCGAAGCACTCAGTATTTTTCATTCAATATCAAATATTTCCTTATCCCAATTTTTCCACGAATGAGGATTCATCAATTATTCTTTGGATTATTAATTGGACTTCGTTGGATTGCCCATCCGGGCTTCAGCTGTAAAACGTTCCTGCCTTCCTTTTTTTTTTCGCCGATTCAAAACTTGGCGCTGTTTTCCTAGTGACATCTGGGAGGACATAACACATTTCAATGTAGGGGATTTCTAAATCGAGCATTTGGCCATTCTAGCGTTTGAAGTTAGGCGAACGTGACTATGAGCCGGCGGAGGGAGCACGGCTGCATTCCTAGGATATTAGGTCAACATGGGAACATTGTTAATGATGAAAATAATGACTGGCTCAGCTGAAAGATGAGTAAGAAATCACTCAGCCAATGAAAGCACATTGACCCTACCAATAAGTAGATACATATCGATTGTTCCAATTTTGAGTCATATTTATCAACGTGACACCGCCACAAGTACTTCAAACAGATTCCTGTGTGAAGAAATTAGTGAGAATATGCCTGTTCTTAAGCATTGTTGTAATCCACTCGGGAAAAAAAATCATTCTCGTATATGTAAGGCAGTCATTAAAGTCAGTGAGAAGTTTCGTGAATTATTCGCTGAAGAAATTGGACATGGCAAGTTCATTTGCAAGTCTTGCCACACAGGTTTGAAGCAGAAGAAGATGCGCAGTGTCTGTCGAACAGATGGTATTAATAATTATGGAGAAGATAGTTGTGTAGTGCGCGTGAGTGAAGAAGTGTCAAACCGCCTCGAGACTTTGTCTAGATCTATTGATTCAGGGAATTGTGATGAGCAGTTTGAACTAGATGATAGGGAGCACCAAAAAGTCGTTATCGCGGCGTTAAATAGAGCTTTACCATCATTAGGTCAGGCTATCATTCCGAGAAACTGGAGGGAACGAAGTGTTTTTGAAAAGAGGAAAATGATTGAGAATATTAAGGAAGCAATTGATAGGAGTTTAAGTGATCCTGAAGATTGCTCTGATATTAATTGCCTCGTTCAAGAAATCAAAGAAAAACTGAAAAGTGCTAACGAACTATCGGATAAAATCCAATTGCTTACAATGCTCCCTAAGTCCTGGTCGATTGCCAAAATTCTGAAAACATTCAACGTCCCGTACTACATAGCACGTCAAGCTTATTGGATTCATCAGGAAGAAGGGATAGGAGCTTCTGTTCTAAAAAGAACACGCAGATCATCGGTAAGTATGATTACGGAGGAATTAGTGAAAGAGTTCTACAGAACTGATGAAATTAGCCGCACCATGCCCAGTAAAAAAGATTGTCTTTTAGTTAAAGTGACGGGTGTCCGGGAGAACCATTAAAAACGTTTAATTATATCTAATTTAAAAGAAGTTTACGCACAATTTAAAGAAAAATGTTCTGACGTGAAAATCGGATTTTCAAAGTTCGCTGAATTTCAGCGTCGCGAATGCATATCAGCTGGTAAGAATGGAACTCATTCGGTCTGCGTTTGTAAAATTCATCAAAATATTGAATTGAAATTGCTGGAGATACAAATTGCTGGACGATGAATAAAATAACTGACAAATACATGCCATTGTCTTATAGTAGTAGTAGTAATGTAAATATATTGTAAAATGTCTTCAAGTAGCATTAATATTAGTATATTGTAAAATAACTTGAAAATGCATGCCACTTCTAGAATGAAGAAGAATGGATTCAAATGTGAATAATTACATATTTACTTTCCAGATACTCCATACATCCGCTCAATACCGTAGACTTGCTAGAACGACTCGCTCAACACAGCGAGCTCACCACTCGACTTTATCTGTCGCGACCTCACAAAATAATTAATATCTCAGGCTTTATATTGAAACACCCTATTGAAATTTGACCGTGAATTCTCTGATGTGCACTCTATCACATCTATTTTTTCGGATTTTTTAAGATCTGCAAATATGTTTTTTTATCAACTTTCTATATTGTTTATTAACAAACATATTGTAAATTTGACTTTTTTGCAAAAATAAAATTTTCATATGAATCTTTCACCCTTTTGAATGTCGATTTTCGGTGGCGATTGGAGCAAAATCGATTGTAGTGATCATTTTAGCGAGCTCACCACTCGACTTTATCTGTCGCGACCTCACAAAATAATTAATATCTCAGGCTCTATATTGAAACACCCTATTGAAATTTGACCGTGAATTCTCTGATGTGCACTCTATCACATCTATTGTTTTCGGATTTTTTAAGATCTGCAAATATGTTTTTTTATCAACTTTCTATATTGTTTATTAACAAACGTATTGTAAATTTGACTTTTTTGCAAAAATAAAATTTTTATATGAATCTTTCACTCTTTTGAATATGTCGATTTTCGGTGGCGATTGGAGCAAAATCGATTGTAGTGATCATTTTGCTCATTTTTTAACATGTCCCACCATATATCAAAAATCGTAAAATGTCACTTCGCGAGAGGGAAATCTGACTTTGCGCCTACGCCGAAACGAAAAATACGGAAAAATGAAGGACCCATAGGGTGAATGCCCATGACATAGAATCCACACGGAGACGCATCCGTATAACTAATAGGACCGCGAAAATTTCCCGCCAATTTTATTTGCTCGACTATGATTGACGTACGCGGTTGCGTCTCCGTGTGGATGCTGTTCCATGGGCGGTCACTCTTACCCACGTGCTTATCAATTTGGCACCTGAGCACGACTCCTTTATTTTATTACTCCCTAGGTTGAAAATATACTAATCCACAAAGTTGCAGAAATCTTCAGGAAGTTCTCGAATTTCGCAAAAGTTCATACATTGCATACTGCATTCCGGCCGTAAGGCAGCGCTTTACAGATGCTACCTACGGTCGTTATCACAAAATTGCTCTTTTCGTCACAAGGCCGAAAAAAAGTTGTTTTGGACCGAGTGATAAATTTAATTTTTCGAAATTTCACGAAGTGTCCGTAAAACGACGTTAAGAACAGTGTGATTGACAACAAATGTCAATACAGGCAAACTTCATACTCGTCGAAAGCGGAATTTCATTATATAATATAACATTTAATTATTTCCAAGGTAAGCCTGGAAATTTCCAGGGAGTTCTAGGATTTTATATTTATGCTATTTATGTTATTATATTTCTATTTTAGAATTTTCTTTTTATCTAATTTAGCGTGATGATTCATAGCCAATGCTAGAACGCCAACTGGAAGCTAATTGATAGTGAAAATTCCATTGAAATCTGTTGAGTCGTTTCTGCCTGCCTCGCGAACAAAACAAGCAGGCGACCGACCCTATTCGACAGAAGACTTGTGACACCACACTGTTATGTCAAAAGGCTTCATTTTTCTGCTACCAATTACATTGGTTATAAGCTTCCGAAGGGAAGAAGTGCATCGTCTATTTTTTATTTTTATTATTTCAACCGTAGTATATAAAATCATTTCGTCCTCTTAAAAATTTCATATGTAAAATTATGTGGTTTTACTCCGATTCAATTATTTCTCTCGATTTCATTCGTATTTTCCAAAACAGACTGATCTGTGCTGATNACAAGCATACCAAATTTCAAATCGATATTAACATTTTTTATCGAGTTATCGCGCGCACAACGTTTTTCACAAAAAAACCGATTAACGGCAATATTCCTAGACTCAGCAGTGATTGGTCTATGTATTATGAATGATTCAGGTAGAGATCATCGAGACGAATATTTTGAAAAAAAAAAGTTGAAATCGGTGCATTTATTGAGGAGATATAGCTGAAAAACGAAATTTAAACAATTGGCAATATCTCAGGAACTACTGGACCGATTGAGCCCAAATGGAGCCACAAAGTGGGGCTTATTCATAGCTATCATCAGTAAAAATTTCAAGTTTTTATCTGCGAATTTCACCGTATTTATGTTAAAATTTCTAAAAATAAACCCCCAAAACAGCCATTCTGCACATACATACGTACAGACGCAACCTCAAAAACATCATTTTTTCACGTTTCATGACATTCTAGATCATTTGCAATGAAAATTAGAAAATCGAAAAATCGACCAAAAATAATGCTTCCCTTCGGAAGCAAAAAGGAAACAGATTTTTTGATATGTGAAGACTACGGGAATAAACAATTCTTCATTCCATGCCCTCTAAATATGCCATTACCTGTTAGCATTCAGCATCCAATAGTCCCCCCCCCCCATAGATTGAACAATAAAAGCAATATACAATAATTATCTTCATGAACAAATCAAATGCGTTTTCATCGAAATGAGCGGAGAATCTCCAACGTCATCAGAAAACTCTGGGATGAAGCAATCTTCGTGATCAATGAACTCTTAATCGATTCATTCTAGATCTTCATCTTCTCGAATCATCTCCGTTAATTATAGCGTGACATGACAACCTTAGAAACCCACCCTCCCCCTTCATCATGATTCGTCACAAAATACAGAACGCATCCCTTCTCATCTTGTGATATGTAATATATGAATGGCCCCCACTGACAATAATAAAAAAAGCAAACAAAATTTCCTTTTAAAACCTTCGATATAATTATTCATTTATTTTAGATATAATTTCTTATGGAATGTTGTAAAGAGAACCCTCATTTCTGCACAATTTACAATACAATGTTACAACGGTATTTTTCATTTGCGATAACACGATTTTTTGTTTACGAATACTTAATTAATCGATTAACAGTAACATCGTTAATATTCATTTTGTTGTATACCGAATAACACGTACTTCATTGATGGATTTTAAACCTGAAAAGAAATTTGCCAATATAGCTATCCTCTGGGGACATCCTCGTAGCGCCGAGGATGGCAGAGATTTTTTATTGACTGAGCATTTTACGTTTCAAGGAACCTCAAGTTACATTTAATTCCATAATTAATTATTATTTATCGACGGATAAATTGCCTCAGAGTATTTCAGTAGTTACAATCTATTTTAAGATATAATTGTGCCTGATTTGTGCTAGTTTATTAATTCCATTTTTGGCACCCTGTTTTAAAATATTGGAATGAACCCTTTTCGTCACAGTCGATTAAACATACATAAATTATTAATATGTACATAAATATCAATTCTCACGGGCCATTAACAAACCCAATAGTAATATATCTGGATAATTAAATTCAACTTGTTTAATATTCAAATATCTCAACGTATCGTAAACCCTTGGAAGTTTTATCGTAAAACATGGAATCAATAAATTATGAAAAGAACCTTGTCAATTCCTTCTTAAAAATCAATCCCACCTTCGTTAATAATTTTAAACATCTCGAGTATTATTAATTAGCACAAACTACTGACCTGAATGTATTATCAATTGCATTAAAATCCCTAAGTACCTGGAACACGTTTTAATAACTAACTACTAAACCAGTCTTGAACCTTAGAGTGACTCGGGAAGGAGCCAATCATCCTGTGTGCAAGTACATTCGGCAAGATAATCAAGGCTACATATGTCCCCTAGCTAAACTCTCACTTGCGCGTAAAATAGGATTAAAATTCATCCCCGATTAACTGGCAGTATTACTGAATTTGGTTCTTATGGGTTATTCAAAACCCTGAGAAGTGAATTCAACTCTTCATGAACTTATTAAAGTTGAACGAAATAAAAATGTAAATCTGTCCAATTGAGTCCCAAATGAAATGGTCAAAATGATGAAACAGTAAAGAAAAGGAAACACAAATTAGCAGTGAAGTGGTAAACTGAAGTAACTTCTTGGACGACTATTTTTGCTCGAGTCATTCAAAAAGGCGAACAACAAGGAAATTGTCGAGCTAGTGTTTTCTCCGTTGGATTCGACACTTTTGCCGATTGTGCATTGTGTTGAAAATAAGTCGTTCCAAGAGGAAGAATTAAACGATCTTCCTCTCTATAACTGATAATAATTCTAATAAAAATAATTCAATACTCATGAAGAGGTAAAAAATAGTATTTTCGTTTCACCACTTTTCTGCAAATATATGACGAAAATGAAAAATGCTAATTTATGCTTTATTCTCGTTGTGTTTGGCCTTGGATTTCTTCCCAAGCAGTCGACGAAAAGACGATGTCCACTTTGATCTCGTAAATGTAGCAGCTGTTCTCTGTGCATCAGCCTCGCTGCTCGATGACTCACTGATCTTGCGACTACTGCCGCCCGGCTCGTACGAACGTGACCTCCGATCGCCAATTTCTGATGAAAAACTACACGAAGAAAAATCAGGCTCTATTGGCGAACTCGTTGGTGTTATCGGTGTAGCACCAATCGATGTCATTGGATCAGGCACATACCCAGAATCCGATGAGAATGCACGTGATGCTGGTGGTACACCAGAATTTGTACTTGACAGTGAGACCTCGGCCATTGGTGTATCAGCAAATTCCTCATCCTCAGAGCTGCTTGACGAGTCATCGATGTAACTTATTCCACGGTCCATTGGTGAGCTGGTACGTAATCCACTGGATGAGGAAGCCGAGGGCAGTGGACCCGGTCGTAACCAAGTCCGTAGATCCTGGAGTGGTGCCTGCAGACACTTGAATAATTTTCCACTGCAAGAGAAACAGTCAGAAATAATAAAGAAAAAGCAACATTAATGGTCTTACTTCGAGTCAATTTTTTTGTTTACCAAGTGGCGGCTAGATAAAAAGAACTTACTCATCGTGATAATCGTCTGCCTCGGCGAACGTTCGTTTGGCGTACAAACATACTGAGCATCTTCGGCGTCGACGACAGGACGTGGCGTGAAGTGCAGCGGCACGCAGATGACGTGCTGCATGCCTCAAAGTAGCTGCCTCGTGCGTTAATACTGCTATTCCCTCCTCCCTCCTCCGCCTCTCAGCCCCCAATTCCACCCGCTCAACTCTCAGTTTTTCCTTCAAAACGACGTTCTGAGACGAATAAAAACAGAAATTAGTTTCACCTGAGTTAAATGATACCGTTAAATCCTCCAATTCCGTTTTTTTCTCTCCCATCCCCAGGCCATTTTTTTCTCCTCTTTTATGTATTTACCTCGCGTTCCAGTGCATCGCGTTCAGCACGAATGACGGTCGCCTGCCTGACGACGTCCTGTCTCGCTCTCTCGAGATTCCTCCTAGTTATTTCACTTTGCGTTGCTTGCAACTGTAACTGACGCAGCGCCGAGGTCTGCTCTCTTTCCAGCTGCTCACGTGCCACAATACAAGCGTCACGCTCGGCCTTAAGACGCTCAATCTCATCGTCAAGACGCAGACTACGTTCTAAATGCAAAAATAATTCCTCCTCTTTGTCACGTAACTCCGTCTCACGACCCTCAAGACGTTTCTCCAGGGCTTTTCTGGTCTCCTCCAGTCTATCTCTCTCCGCCTGGCGACGGGAACAACAAACAAATAGAGGTAAAAATTTAATTATCTCATTTTATCAGCCCGAACAGAAGTCTTGATCACTCAACCAAAACCGTCTCAACCTAGGAGTGGCTTCTCACGGCACTACTTCCTCCACAACTCTCATTCCCTCAATGAACATGAGTAACAATGATAATAATAATAATCTTCAATGAAACATGGCACTGGTTATTCGTCGATTACTGCTTTCCGCGTACAAAAAAAGTTTTATTTTCCAGAACCCAGTTTACTGATTTGAAGGAACTCACGTTAGTACGAGGATTTAGTTGCTGTTAACGAGGCTTTTCAGCTATTAACACTATTCGTTAATAATTTACGAATGGCATTAACATTTAAGAAGCCTCGTTAAGAGCAACTAAACCCTTCCACATTTTCCATTTTCAGAAAGAGAATCTCGAAAATGAAGTAGCAAATTCTTCTCATGTATTCCAAGCGTGAAAAGTTCTTGAATTAAGAAACTTTGCATTTTGAAACTAAGAATTACTGGAAGGGGATAAATTTATGCAATAATTGAACGTCAATATTCAATGAGTCAAGATGTCTGATGATATACTGTGAATGATGAAGGATTTATAAACAGAATAAATTAATATGAGAATGGGAAAAATCATGAATTTAACCCTAGACTGGTCACCATGCGAGGGAATTGCCGCAACACGTCGTTTTATTCACCTTGCCATCGACTGGTTGACCGGAAAAATTTGAGAAAAATTGAATTAGTCAATTGAAGTATCTGGAAAATTCTAGTATTTTTTTTTCAATATTGTATTCTTAATTCTGGGAGAAAAAAAATTATTTCCAACGGGTGAACAATTTTTTCCCGTGTTAAATGAAATTGCCTGTTGCGCGACGTTGCTGGGAACTCGCTAAACGCGCCCGGGAAGTGTAGAGTGGATTCGGCAACGCTGGAGCCTAAATAACAAGGCGGCACTCTCCCGCGAAGGTGACTAAAGTCGCATTTTCCCGTCAGGGGGCCTATATGATTCCTATACGCAATTCGTCTACGAAGCCACTTCCGTGCACGGAAATATTTTGAGAATAGGCCCCCAGGTGACCAGACTAGGGTTAAGATCGAGAATGTTCTTAAAGATGTCTTTCCTCTCATTGACCAATTTTCACGGTTTTTGTGATATTTCTAATATTGGATTTTTGCGTTTTCTCATAATCTAATGACCCGCGAAGATTTTGCCAAACTTTCCTCGGAAAGGGTGTAGAATATTATGAAACGTGAAGAAATGATGTTCTTTGTAACATGTCTGTACCTGTGTGTGTGACAATTTCGGTTTTGGGTGATCTATTGTTAGAAAATGTGGCATAAATACAGTGAAATTCGTCGATAAAAATCTGAAATTTCGGCATAGATAGCTATGGGGGAGCTTAAGGGGTAACAGAATGCCGCCAATTTTACAAATTTTTGAACAAATTTCCTGCCGAAAGTTATCGATATTTTTACAAATCGAAGCACATTAATCTCCAGGAGGCGATGATGAAGATCAATGTGCTTTGGGTTCAAATAATGTTAATAACTTTGAGCAGGAAATTTGTTTGATTATTTTTCTCACTCAGATTTCAGCCAATCAGAGCGCAGTATTTGAGGCTGTCAAAGAGTTTTATTTCGGAAATTTCCAAAAAATTTCCGGCGGAAATTTACTAGTAGCTTTTCAAATGTTTCTCATCTTTCAACGCATTTCACGTTTAATATTCTGTGTGACAGATAAACAAAAAAGTGGGTTGTAAATGTATGGATGTGTAAATGTATCTGGATGCTGTTCACTGCACTCTGCTTGGCCGAAATCCGAGTGGAAAAATAATCCGTCAAATACCATTCGTGCTTTAAAATTAATCGGATATTTTCCTCAAGCTTCCCTGTCTAGGAACGAGTGGGTCAAATTTTGCAGAAAAACCTGCAAAAATTAACACAATCGTTCCTAGGCAACGAAGCTATCGGAAAATATCCGATAATTTTGAAGCACTAGTAGTATTACAACTGAAAATTTCGAGGAAATGGCGGCCTTCTGTTACCCCTTAACTTGGGCGCGTTGGCGCGTAGTTTCAACCCGATCAGTCCAGTAGTTCCTGAGATATGACAACTTAAATTTCATTTTTCGTCAACATCTCAGAAACTACCGCACCGATTTAAATTTTGTTTTCAAAATAGTACGATTCGATGATCGTAGTCGCAGAGCCAAAGAATCATAATAGCTATGCTTATACACACCACTTACGCCCGTTTGGCTATACGGTGACGATATGTATTAGTAAAGTTCGCTGATATTGCCATTTTTCCGTTAAAAAAAATCTTGTACGCGCGATAACTTGAAAAAAATGGAGATGGCAAGCGGTAATTGGGCAGGATTATATCTCTTATGGCATTGAAGGTTGGATTTAGGATGGACACAATCGGCCGAGGGGTTTCGGAATTATTTAATCTTTTATATAAATCTATTTCATCAAAAGATTAAATATGTCCCTGTAGATACCCTGTAGAATGTGATTGTGGTTGGATCCCTGTCACGGGGTCAGGGAATTGGTACGGCAATTGGTATCCTTTCGAAAGATTAATACAAATGAAATTAGTAGAAATAAATAGCTATTATGCCACTCATGCCTGAAACCGGCTGGATTACACTAATTCAGCCGGTTTCAGGCTTCGTGACATAAAATTTTGTTCAGTACTTGTTGGGAAATTTCGTCCTTAACGTGTGTGGTTACATCACTCGCCTTCGGCTCATGCTGTAAACCCCACACACGTTAAAGACGAAATTGCCCCACACGTGCTGAAATATACTATTCCGCACTCGTTACGAAATATACTATTTTCGTCACAAGACAAAAAAAAAAAATTTCTGACAAGTGTGAGGGTTGCAGAGGCAAAACCGAGAAATGCAATCACACGAGTCAAAAAGTTGTTTTCGGCCGAGCTTATAGGATTTTTTCAATTGTGTGAATTGATTTTTTCAAAAAATATCCGAATGTTCTGCGAAATCTGGGCCTTTTCTCGAATATTCTAGAAAATCGGAGAAATTATCTAAAATTCCGACAGATGGCGCTGTCGTTAGGGGTAACAGCCCGAATGACCCCAATATGAAATTAAAGACGTGCCCTCTTAAAAAAACTAATTGAAAATTCACTAAAAGGCAGCACATCCTCAATTTCAGAACCGGAAGTTTTTAATTCTCGAACCCCAAGGTTCTTATTTCAAGAACCCGGAAGTCTTAAATTCCAGAATCGATATTTCCTTAACACAAGAGAAAATCTGACAAAGTTCTGAAATTCAGATATTTTGACTGGAAACTGAAGCCTTTTCTCTGGTTTTTCCAAGAAGGTCCACCAAAGGGGAAGGGGCAGGATAGGACAGACCTCCTGAGGATAATTACGTTTAGTGGGCGACGTTTAGAGTTATATACTCGGTATTATATGTACTGTTAACTCAACTCGGCCTCGAAGAGCACTCTGGGACCGTCGGTGGTGAGGTCACCCGCTCCCACGGTCCGGTGAACGGCTCTGAGAGAGCTACGTTTCCTCGTACCTGACTTCAAATACCATTAATACTATTTTAACCTAGCAACCCCTCTCTTTCACTTACTCAAATCATCGGTGGCATTAAGGCTCAATCCGCTTCATTTAAAGTTCAATTTCGCAGGAAAACTTTCCAATTCATAAAGCCGAATTGAAAGTCTCATTATCATGAATTACGAACAATTTTATGTACAGCGATTCTTAGAAAATCGAGTGCGAAGTTTTTTGAAGTTTCTACTCTGTCTACTCAATGAAATATAATACACAAAATGCATACAAATCGTTTAGACTACGCTGATTGTATTGTGAGAGAAAAAACAACATTTTCAAACAAATCTTATTTGAACCAAAGAAATCAAACACTTATAATTGTCTTGAGATGAGAATTTTTCGTAACAAAAATAGGCTCAACAGGTCAATTTTTGGACGAGCTTAGTTTCTGGAAGATTTCAACTTGCATTGAATATTCCATAAATAAAACGAAAATTGTACTGATTACTTCCCCTTTTAATAATGTTACTTGTGTATAATCATGTGATCAATTATTTTTTCTATTGATCGACATTTAATAAATAAAAAAAATATGGCCCAGTCGTCCAGAGATAGGGGTTTCGGATGTATTCAACTATTTCTTGATTTAATTATTCTTTGTTTTGTTATTTTCACTTCAAATAATTTTTTTCTGCTAATTAAAACATTCTTGAAGGTATGGAAGCCATCACATCCCCATTTAGGGGATTCTTTTATTTGAAATCCTACCACGAAACTCGAATTTATCTTAAGGTGAAACGGAATCCCTGTGTTTATATGAACTTGTAGAATTGTGTTTTCTCCAGTAATTATTGTTTTATTTATGAAAATACTCCATTGACTCAATAATGCAATGATCGAGTCGATGAATTAATAATAATAAATTCATAATTAATAATTGATAAATTAATAATTGTAGGAGAAAACACAATTTTAAAAGTTCATATAGACACAGGGGTTCCGTTTCCCCTTAACTGTCCAACAATTGGCCTGTTCACCCTAGATTTAGTTGTTCCAAAACGGAGGATATATTCTGTGCAAGCAAAAAATCTTATTTCTAGCACTACCTATCTGTTATTTGATACCGTCATACGCTTTTTTGCTCTCGAAAAATGTTCGTTCTGTGCGAAACAAGGGTGACTTGTCTTTCGCTTCGGCTATCCAATACTCACAGATGAGGAATCAATTCTCAAATAGAATAATGATGACGATATGACAGCAACACTTCAACTTGGGAACAAAATACTGTTTATCTAGCTTCATTTTATGAGAGATATTCTCATCCTTGAATCAAATATTTCATTGTTGAAAGCCGAGCGTCTATTCTCACTTGAGAATTTAGTATGTTTGAGTGAAACAATGTATCAACGTGGGATTTTTCTACTTCAAATAAGACTCGTTTGAGAATAAGTTCTCCGGCCTTTCAGTTTGTTCCGGCTAAATTTAAATGGGTAAAAACAGAGTTATGCTTAAAATTTTTTCTGTTGTTTCGAGAAATGAACACAGGTAATGTTCCAAAAAACAAAATGTCTAAGTTTTTTTGGATGTGTTGAAACTTACACCCTAATCTGGTCATCAAATGTGATGTGGGATTCCCCGCCGTGTTATTTAGACTGTAGCGTTGCCGAATTCACTCTACACTGCCCGGGCGCGTTTAGCGAGTTTTCGGCAACGTCGCGTCATCGGCAATTTCATTTAAGGAACTTCCGCAGTAAGTATACTTGGTGAAAATTTCGAAATGGTATAAAGACGCAATATTTGGATCATATGTTGTTGAGCACATTCAAAAACTATTCCCAAAATTTCAAGTACCTTGTCCACCCCATTTTCGAGATATACATCGTCAAAAATGGAAAAAACACAAAAATTGAATGTTTGGCGATGCATATCTCAAAAATGGGGTGGACCAGGGACTTGAAATTTTGGAAATATATTTTTGATGTGGTCAACAACATATGATCCAAATATTGCGTCTTTATACCATTTCGAAATTTTCACCAAGTATACTTACTGCGGAAGTACCTTAACACGGGAAAAAATCATTCATCTGTTCGAAATAATTTGTTTTCTTTAGGATTTTTGGGAAATATGTTGTTCTAAAAACTACTATAATTCTTTAGACTTCTTTTTGATTTTTTCCGGTGCTTATTAAAGGATAACAATAGATTATCCTCTACCCATTCATCAATTCTCATTTTCCAAGGTATTTCAAGCCTACAACAAAAAATTAAAAAAAGAATATGTTTGCAAATAAACTCTCACTGGGAAAACGAAAAACAAAATAATAAAGTTTTACGACTCAAGAGGACACAGTCCTTCTTCAAATTTCAGTTTATGTTTAGGATTAATTCGCTCTCGAGTACAGAGCACAACAGATCGTAAATTAGTACCTTCCTAGATTTGTTTTCCCGGTATGTCATAAATCTTTGTCGAGAAGTTTTTGTACAATAATAACAGAGCTGTGTACATTCCAACAACAAAGTTGACAAAATCTCAAGCTTTCATTCAATTCACTTCATTTTCAATTTCCAAGTACTGGAATAAAAATCTTTAATTCACAAAGCCATAATTAAACCAAACCTTATTTTCCCTCATGCATGAACATGGTTTCCGGTTACGGTTTTCTATGATTTCCATTGCCAAATTGTAGATTTTTCAATGATAACAAAAGAAACGGAGTAAAAAACAATCCCATTATTATGAATTACGACCAATTTCGCATTATTTATTCTATATTTGGTAGAGAATTAGCGAAAGGAAGTCAGTTACGCTAGACGACGTTTAATAATGCTCAACAATTGTCCGGTTGGTTCGAAAAAAGGACAAAACTTATGTTTAAAAAAAATAGCGTCCCAAATCCAGTTTTTTTGGTCACGTAGAACCATTTCAAAGGATAACCATTAAGCAGCCCTACCCCGCCATCAATTTTCATCTTCCAATGTGCTTCAACCCCATAATAAGAAAAGATTGACAACATTTCCGCCTCTCAATTTCCAAGTCCTCAGAAAAGACTTATCAATTCATAAAGTTATCACCAAACCGTAATTTTTTTTTCTCTCACGAACTTAGTTTCGGGTGATAGGTTTCTATGATTTTCATTGTTAATTTGTTGATTAGTGAATGAAAAGAAAGGACACGAAACAAAACAAATAAAAAATTCCATCCTTACGAATTACGATCAATTTCACGTTATTTATTCTACATTTGGTAGGGAATCAACGAAAGGAAGTCAGTTACGCTAGACGACGTATAAGAATGCTGAAGAGCTCTCCAGTTGTTTCGAAAGATGAACAAAAGTCATATTTCAAAAAACATGGAGCCTCAAATGAGATTTTTTTCATCATCTAGAAACTTCAAAGTATAACAACAGGTACCCTTACCCTGCCACTAATTTCACTTTCCAGTGTACTTCAACCCCATAACAAAAAAAATGACAACCTCTCGGTCTCTTAATTGCCAAATTCTCGGAAAAGATTTTCCAATTCACAAAATTATAGTTAAATCAAACCTCTTTCCCTCACAAACTTAGTTTCAGGTTGCGAGTTTTTACGATTTTCATTATTCAATTGTTGATTATTCAATGAAAACAAAGGACGCAAAACAAAACAAAAATTGTATCCTTATGAATTACGGCCAATTTCACGTTATTTATTCTAAATTTGGTATGGAATTAGCGAAAGGAAGTCACTCACGCTAGACGACGTATAATAATGCTGAAGAACTATGCAGTCATTTCGAAGAATGAAAAAGTCATGTTTCAAAAAACAGTGGCTCAATAGTATTTTTCCGGCCTGTTGCGATGGGGTTTTTTACTCGTGTGGCGTTGGCCTCCGAGCCGTAGTATAGGCGAGGAGTGGCCAACCACACGAGTAAAAAAACCCTATCGCAACAGCCCAGGAACAATATTTTTCTGTAGTGATTTTCAAGTTTTCGAGTTTGGGAAGTATGTAATACCAATTTCCAGACGAGAAATCGTGAGAAGCAGTACAGAAAATGAGGGTTTTTTGATCACCGAGAAACTTCAAAGTATAACAATAGATCAACTCTACTCCACCACCAATTCTCACTTTCCAGTGTACTTCAACCCCATACTTCAATTTAAAAAATGACAACACCTCGGTCTCTCAACTTCCAAGTCCTCGGAAAAGATTTTCCAATTCACTAAGTTATAGTCAAATCAAACCTTTTCCCCTCACAAACTTAGTTTCAGGTTGCGAGTTTCTACGATTTTCATTATTATTAAATAATGTTGATTATTCAATGAAAACAAAGGATGCAAAACAAAACAAAAGTGATATCCTTATGAATTACGGCCGATTTCACGTTATTTATTCTACATTTGGTAGGGAATTAGCGAAAGGAAGTCACTCACGCCAGACGACGAATAATAATGCTGAAGAGCTATCCAGTTGTTCTGTGGAATGAACAAGTCATGTTTCAAAAAACAGTGGCTCAAATGAGGTTTTTTTGATCACCGAGAAACTTCAAAGTATAACAATAGATCAACTCTGTCCCACCACTAATTCTCATTTTCCCATGTATCCCATCACAAAAAAATGACAACATTTTGTTCTCAATTTCCAAGTCCTCGGAAAACATTTTCCCGTTCATTCACAAAGTTATAGTCAAACCAAAACTCTTTATTCCCTCACGAATTTAGTTTCAGGTCACAGGTTTCTATGATTTCCATTTTCAAATTGTTGACTATCCGATGAAAACAAAGAACACCAACCAAACCAAAACAAAAATCCCATCGTTATGAATCACGACCAGTTTCGTTATTTATTTCACATTTGGTAGAGAATTAGCGAAAGGAAGTTAGTCACGCCAGACGACGTACAAAATATCCTTCCACGTTACATGTGCGCAAATAACATGAAGTACATTCACAAATAGCAGGAAGAAAGCGATTCTCGATGTCGATATTCGAGCACACTGTGGGTGGGAAGAGGTAAACTCAGGATAAATGGACGATAAAAAAAAAGAAAGAAAAATACGAGCTAAATAAGAGGAGTGGGCACTTGAATACCTGAAGCAGGTATAGAGTGCGCCTATAAATTAAACTATTCCTCTTTCACCGGAAGAAACTATGACTAATACCCAACAAGTTATTTTGTTATGAAAGAGAAAATATACTCTGCGTTGAATTTTCATGTAAATACCCACCTTGACCTCGTGATAACGCTCCTCCAGGTAGTAGGTGATACCACGGGACTCCTCGTACTTCTCCGACAGTGCAATGTATTTGTCATAGTGACGTTTAAACAGGACATATCTGCAATGCAAATTTCATGACATCAATGACGTGAATGAGTAAAAATAAACGACCTGAATGGCATAAATACACGTGTTGAGTAAGTTATCATCATCGAGACGAATAAAAATAAAGCAAGTGGGAAATTGCTCTTGCATTGAATATAGTATAGTTATTTTTGCTAATAAATTAGCAATATGCTTCCGAATAGGTAATTTGCACATCACTTCCTTCCAACATGTATAATTTATTGTTTATTTCATTTTATTAAATTGAATAAGATTTCTTTTTAACTAATTTTATTAGATTTTAAATTTAGTTGGATGTTATTATCATCATTATTCTTATTAACCCTTTCATTTGTATAAGCAATTGTCTTTTTTATAGTTCTATCTCTGTTAGCTCTCAGCTCTTCGATAAAGTAGTAATAGAAAAATGTTATTTATATAGAATTGAATGAATTTGAAACATCATATTTGAAGAAACCATGAGAAAACTCACTTTCAGGGAAATTCATGAAAAATTCGAAATTTTCAACAATCATAAAAATCAAATCAACCAATGTAGCTATCGTAATCATCTTTCAACTTCGACTTAATGGTATTAAGATAAACATTTTAAGCTATGATTGAATTCATTTGAAGCATGATATCCAAAGATTAAAAAATACAGAATTTTTGCAAATTTTCAAATAAATTAAAATAGCGATTATTGCTATCGCCTTCATCTTCGAACTCGGTCAAAAGGACATCCAAACAATTTTTTTAAGCCATCATTCAGTCAATTCCGAACATTTTTTTTAGTTATCTTAAACAAAAAACATTTTTTAAACATTTTTAAAAAATTGAAAATTAATAAATGAATTAAATTTTAATTAATGACGATGGACAGGACTCGACAATAATTACATTTGAGGGAAAAAAAGATTCAATTCTATCGATTCGTCAGCGAACAATCGAAGAAAATTTTTTACATATGTATGCACATAGACACATACGTACGGACAGGGTCTAGAAATGACATTTTCGGACTTTTTGGATGATAATGGGTCGATATAACACGAAAAATCCAAAACTTAAATTTGAACTATTTGGGTGAACAGGCCAATTGTTGGGCGGTTAAGGGGTAACCGAACGCTGCTAGTTTTCCAAATTTGTGAACAAATTTCCTGCGGAAAGTTATCGATATTTTTACGAATCGAAGCACATTAATCTCCAGAATGTAATGATGAAAATCAATGTGCTTTGTGTTGGAAAAATATTAATCATTTGAGTAGGAAATTTGAGTTTCGTGGTAGAATGTAAAAGAAAAGAATCCCCTAAGTGGGGATATGATGGCTTCCATACCTTCAAGAATGTTCTAATTAGCAGAAAAAAATTATTTGAAGTGAAAATAACAAAATAAAGCATAATTAAATTAAGAAATAGTTGAATGCAGCCGAAACCCCCTATTTCTGGACAACTGGGACATATTTTTTTATTTATTAAATGTCGATCAACAGAAAAATAATTGATCACATGATTATACACGAGTAATAGGGGAGGTTGGGGTAAAACAGACACTTGCCTTTTTTTAGAATGTTAATGAGAGGTTGAAATGTTGATAAAATTTAATAATTTTCTTCTCAATACAAAAAACAATTCTTTCCCTTTGTGATGAGCCTAAATTGAGCTCAATTGATCAATTTGTTTCTGAGTGATGAATAATTTAAAAAAATTCTGAAGTATCCGTTTTACCCCACCCGCCCCTATTATTGGAAGGTGAAATATCAGTACAATTGCACATTTTATTTACGGATATTTGCGAAATGTTCAATGCAAATTGAAATTGTCCGGAAACTAACCCCCGTCCAGAAATTGACCTGTTGACCCTCCAATCCTTCCATTCGAAAGTAAGAAAAATGGAATAATTACCTGTAGAGATCGTTTTCACTGACGATGTCACGAATCGAGTCCTCAGGGTCAATTCTATCAGTGGCAAAATTAGGGGGAGGCGAGGCAGTGGCTCTTCCGTTGTAAGGACAGAAGCTGTGGCCCCCCTGGAGCAGACTGGACGTCGACGAGGCATCCCTGAGGGCACTGGAGGCCACCAGATCATCCTCAGAGGCGCACGTCTGCTCATGGAGCAGTGGACTCGGTGTTCTCGTTGGCGCACCTGGCCCACTGCCCCCCAGTATGTCCTCACTCCTCGAGTGCCTCATCTCCGAATTCCTGTAAATCCCCGGATTTCTCGTTCGAAATACCACATCACCGTTGCTCGATGCAGTTCCATTGCTACCGTGAAAACCACTTCCGGCCATTCCAATCAATAAATCCGTCATAATTTCTCAACCAACGTTACTCTCAGTTTCCCGAAGAAAAAACCTCATTAATCACAGGTTTTATTTTCTATTTTTCACGCCAGGATTATACCTTCCGGGAAGTGAAATATTCCCAGAGCACTGTGAGTCCGAGACTTCCTCATCGATCTCACGAGACACATTGTGTTACCGTTCACCTCTCGCTTCTTATATTTATAAATTTTATGCCTTTTCTCACTGACGCCTGTTATCGCACCGTTATCGCGGAATCGTATATCACTATTGGAGTATCTGCGACATTAAAAAACAAGGTCGTTCGAACATGGGTTTATTTACACTCGTCCAAATAAACCCAGAGTTTTTAGCAGGAAATGAAAATTGAGGATAGTCGGGATATTGTGTTTAGAGACACTATCTAACGACGTTATTCGTCCTATTGACTCGCTCCCCCTCTGCCCTGCGCGTCGTTCCTTTGGCGCCTCTTGGTTTACCCCCGAGTGTCTAGTGTCGGGGAGGGGAATCAAAATAATGGATCCTTCCAGTGAACTTTCTTTTTTTGTCTCTCACCTCTTTCACGTAACAATCGATAATGAAAATCTATTTCCAACAACTGAAATGTCAGATGACGCTGATTAATTCGATAGGCACCACCGGAACGAGCGACTCCGATATCTCTCGGTTATTTTATCACGGGGTAATATTTTATTGGCGAATGCACTAGACCCACTGCGTGTAAACTTCTCAGAGACATTTAAAATAACTTCGGGGGAAAATTGAGGGCACAAAGGACCATTTCGTGATATTTATTTCGGAGTAAACAGCAAAATACAACAGGCCAGCGTCACTTGTTGGTGTAAACTGAAGGGAGACGCTGTGCGCTTAGCCGGCTGAAGCGATTCGTGACCGTTACCGAAGAGCCATTCTACTCCCGTGGCCTGGAAAGCGACCGGTGGTCGTGAAAGGGCAGCCCCTGTGGGCTCTTCTCAGGTACAATAACTCTAATCCCCCTTCGCCCCCTGGCTTCAACACCCCCCGTGTGCACCGAGCTCAATCAAAAGCTGAACGCCATCTACAGTGCGAGAGAAAGTATACTATAGGTATTTTTGTTTTTTGTGAGGTCGATCAGGTAGAGTTCGTGGAGACGGGTTGAGTGGCTCGTGGGCCGGTTTGTTGTTGACGATGGCCAGTCGAATTTTTAATTGTTTAAAGAGGGATTTGATACCCGGGGGAGTGCAGCAAGTGAGGAGGGGACATTTAATGAGGGGAAAACCCGTTGGAGTTGCGAGGACACTTGCACAGAGGCTCGCAGGTAGGTGTCACGTTCTCGGAGCTGGTTCTAACCTTAAATTCTGATTGTTAATGGTGAGTTTTTATTTCGATTTTTTGGGGTTTAGAGTTGAATGTCAAGGACCCAGAGCTGAGTTCCAGAGTTAATATTGGGTTTAAGCCCAGGAAGTTTTCGAGGGCTGAGGCGTCAGCTGGTTTTCTTGAGAATGTGAAGGAGAATAGGAGGAACCCGGAGATGGAGCGGAAGGCTCGTCGAAACGAATGTAAGGATATTACTGATTTGATTAATTACTGGGGGGAGGAGAGAGGAGTGGATTCCGGCGCTTTAGATGTTTTGGTTCTATCGATGATCCATCGAGTTCTTGATTGGATGAGATGATTTTTGTTCTGGCCACTCCTCCCTCCAGTCATAGCCTGGACTTACTGATTTGATTAATTACCAAGGGGATTGATTGATTGAGGTTTATTGACTGTACATTATGTTGTACGAAGTAAACATGACATGAGGCATTAGGCAGGAAACAGAAACACCAACAAAGATATAAGCATGGAATTACTATAAGTAGCTTAAAGTAGCTCTACCCCTTACGGCAAATTCAAAGATTATTGAAAACTGCAAAAAAATTGCAGAAAACTCGATTAGATTCGGAATTCTAATTTTTTTTCTCAATTTGATTATCGTTTTGGTTTTTCAAAGAAGAAATATTTAAAAATCAGGATTTAGCCCAGTGTCTTGTGTGAAAATCAACATTTCCATTGTAATCAAAGATTAAAATCTGAATTTTTTTTTATTCGATATGGAAAAATCAAGAATGTTTTTGACACGTCGTAAAAAATAATCCACCGCTTTGCAAACAAGTTCTATTATTTATTTCTAAGAGGAAATGTTTGAAAAAGTATCAATATTTTGCGAAATTTAATTTAGATAATACTGACTGGGTATGAATTTTTTCAAATTTTTTCCATGCAATTTAGTTGAAAAATTTAAAAACTGAAAATATTCAAAAGTACAGCGTAGCCCGGCCGAAGGGTACAGCTACTTTAAGCATACCTATACGGAAAAATATATGTTCTGAAAATTATATATTTTATATATATAATTGGCCTGGTTTGTATATAAAAGTTACATAAAGTATAAATTCATATGGCCTCCTTGCATCAGCTCCGGGTAACGAAAACGTTAGATAAGAAAAAAAGTAAATTTGGATGTTCGATGGATTATTTTACCCGGGAGAGTATCTCAAATTTATCCCAGGAACAAAAAATTGAATTTAATCCCAAGGTTAAATCAGCGTAGATTCAAATGGGGCTACAGGATAAATAAAAAATTATTCCTTAGGTCAAATATTGAAAAATTGTGACCCTTACGATATAATTGGCCCCGAGGATAAATTTTACCCTGGGGTTTATTTGGATAACAGGGCTTGGTACCACCGGGCCTATGTTTCATATATATTTTATATAAATCTTATATATATGCGCAGAATATATTAAATTGGCCTATATCATATATATTTTTTATAGGGGAGGTCGAGGTAAAATGGACACTTGACTTTTTTTAAAATGTTAATGACAGCTTGAAATGTTGATGAAATTCAATAATTTTTCGTTCAATGCAACGAACATCCTTCCCTTTGTAATAAGCCTAAACTGAGCTCAATTGATAAATTTGTTTCTTGGTTATGAGTAATTTTAAAAAAGTCCAAAGTGTCCATTTTACCCCATCCTCCCCTATATTTTTCCATGGGGGTAAGAAAACAGACTAAAACATAATAAAGTGAAATGCGACCTGATACCAATGTAAATTACATCGGAAAACAGCGCAAAGTCATGAAGCAGTTACATGAGCTATACATTGTAAAGTAAAAATATTGATGGATGAAAAAGAATTAATTTCGAGTGCTCACAATAAAAGAAAAAGAAGCTGAAGAAGGAAAAGTATAAAAGTGAAAAAAGTGAAAGATCTGGATGAGGAGGAAAAAGGGTGAAGAAGGTGAAAAATTACTGGCGACGGTTCAGAAAACTGAGGGTGGTTACTGAGAAAGACCCAGAAGAGAAGGAGAGAATGAGATAAATACTGACACTTTTGACGCTTTGATTCTGTTGATGATTGGTAGAGTCCTTGATAGAATGAGATGATTTTTGTTCTGTAAAAAGTCCACACGTCCCTCTCTGTCACAGCTAAGACTTATGAAGTCAAAATTTGTGGAATATTCGTAGTGAAGCGTACGATCTTAGGGGTATATGGTCATTCTTGAGACATATTTTATTAGTGGAGTAAATAATGAGTTGTTTGAAGAGTGTGAACAAAAATAAAATAGAATGGAATCTTTATTTCAAATGACCGTCAATTATCACCGTCATAACTTGTAATTACCGCGCTGAGAATCTGACCATATGGTCAGTAAAAAATGACGGTTGGCCAGAAGCATAAAGTGGCCGAATAGATTTTGACCGTCGATTTCCGTCTATATATATGACCCTCAATTTTCGAGTACTAGTCTAGTGATTTCTACACTGTTAAAATATTTTAGCTGAAATTTCCAGTACACTTTTCGAAATTTTTTATTACGTTTAAGTTTCACTGAAATGTCAAGGAATTTCGTTATTGAAAATCCTGAATTCCGGGGAAAAATCAATGAGACCTAAATTTCAGTTCAATTATTCCCGGAAAATTGATAGAAAAACGAAAAATTCGGATAAACCTATTCTTGAATTAATGAAATTTGAAATTTCATGATTTTTTTCCTCTTAAATTGCAGTTTCTGGCACTGTCCTGAAGATTAATGGTCAACTGTCCGTGAAATTTCATTTTTTTTCTAACAGTGTATCATTGAGAACGGGGCCATTGATAATTATCAATAAATAAAATACTAAATGTTAAAAATTAATAAATAAAATAGTAAATGATAATAATTAACAAATAAAATAATAAATGATATTAATTAAATTCTAGTAAAAACTTTTCCGATAGAATCCTTACAAATTGACTCAAAAACTAACCGAAATAACATGAATAAAAGTTTTTGATAATTTTGACTCGTGTCTGTCGAAGCTTAACTGTCACAGTCATTTTGCATACAAAATTCGGACAGGATCAGAAACCGGTCAATTTCGTCTGACCTCCCCGAAAGGGAAAATGACGGTCATTTCACATCTCTAATCCTGACTACAAATGAAAATGACAATAGAGGACTCAAGTGGACGAACTAGGTCATTCCAATCATGAATAACCAGAGATGAGTAGAGTGAAATTCAGAGATTTTTTTTTCATTTTGAGAGTCTTTTGTCTGGCTTCGAAATGAAACCTGATTCATCGTAATTCCATCATTTGGACAGGAGATATTCATGATCATTTTACCTCACTTTTCCCTAAACATATTTTAAGTTATTGACGCTCAAGGATATGAAGTCCCATTGCATGTAATGGGGAAAGTAGATAGAAGGGTTTAATCGTTCACGTGTGTAAAGTTCACCTTAATTTGTGCGGTAGCACGTCTTTTCAACTAGGCCAATTTTAACTATGATGTTTCAACTACGACATCTTAACTGCAATTCTCAACAACGACATTCCAACTGTTTTCATTCAAATTATTGCATTTTCAGTTATTAGCCAAAAATTTTCAATTTTTATTTTTATTTGTTGACGCATCAATAATTAATGTGATATAAAGACGATTGTTTCATTCAGTAAACAATTGTAAAAAAATGAATAATTTCATATTAATTTAATTGGAAATATTAACTCTAATTTTCAACTCAATTTTTTTTTACTATATTTCGATTACTGTTTGGACCCACAATTCAGTAAATAATGTAGAACAAAAAAAAACAATTATTGTTCCAATTAATAAGTTGAGACACAGATCAATGAAAATCACGAATTTGTTAACGCACGGATATTCTGTTGATCGTTGACGTTTCAAGAAATTTCGGGATAAATTTTCTAAGAATATCATTTATTTGCGGTATATTATTGTAAAAAAATTAATAATTTCATATTAATTTAATTGGAAATTTTAACTTTAATTTTCAACTCAATTTTTTTTTACTATATTTCGATCACTGTTTGGACCCACAATTCAGCAAATAATGCAGAGCAAAAAAAAATAATTATTGTTCCAATTAATAAGTTGAGACACAGATCAATGGAAATCACGAATTTGTTAGCGCACGGATATTGAGTTGATCGTTGACATTTACAGAAATTTCGGGATAAATTTTCCAAGAATATCGTTTATTTGTGGTATATTAATTCGTAATTAAAATGTTATTAGTTGAAATATTATTAGTTGAAGAGGCGGTAGTTGAGATGTCATAGTTGAAAAATGGGAGTTGAAATTGTCGCTTAGTTGAAAAGACATGGGTTCAATTTGTGGTTGAGTTTGCTTAGTAAACTACTTGGGTCATTTACAAAAAGTATATAATATCGTAGCAGAACAAGAGGTAGGTCAATCACAAACCATCAGCACTATTGACGTGATGACCTGGGAGGATTAAACGTCTGATTTAAAATTCTTATCTAGACCCGTAACGAGAAAATTGGAAAAGTTTTAGTGTCCACAAAACAGCAGCAATTACGAAAGTCATCAAGTCTAGGGAAAACTTAGCGTAATGCGAAAAATTTCAGGAAAAATTCTAATCTAATGTCCTTGTACAAAAGGCATTGCAGAATGAGGTACATTCAGTTTCACTAGATCATAACATACCCTGATTTTGAGGCACTTTCAGGGCAGTTCAGTGTGAAGAATACAAATGTATCGTTTTCAACGAATACATATATTTCGGCATTGACAGAATGAAATTGTTGCTTTTCCTTTCTCTTCGAAGGTACTTTTCTGCACTTTAAGGAACTTCCGCAATAAGTATAGTTGGTGAAAATTTCGACATAGTATAACGACGCAATATTTGGATCATATGTTGTTAACTACATTCAAAAACTATTCCCAAAATTTCAAGTACCTTGTCCATCCCATTTTCGAGATATACATCAAAAAAGGAAAAAACACAAAAATTGAATGTTTGGCGATGCATATCTCAAAAATGGGGTGGACCAGGGACTTGAAATTTTGGGAATATCTTTTTAATGTGGTCAACAACATATGATCCAAATATTGCGTCCTTTATACCATTTCGAAATTTTCACCAAGTATACTTACTGCGGACGTACCTTAAGGGGTAACGAAAGCGGTTGCAAGAGTTGTTTTTTTTTCATTTAATTTTTCTCCGATTCTATCCAATATGAATTGCTGAAATTTTAATC